AATAAAGAACATAATATTTATTAATCTCGACGAGACGAAGTTAAACAATGATACCCTTTGCGACAAAATCAGAATTTCAGAGATTTCACCTTTAGCACGCACATTTCGCCCATGGTCTTCGCTCAAAAACTGTCAATTACCAAACAATGGGCACAATCTTGAGCCAGAGAAAATTTCTAAAAAGGGGGCATAATGTTTTTACAAAGCGATCAAAGTACAGCGTGTTTTGAACTTTAGACTCTTGTCTGTCTGTTCCAGAAAAAAAATCTTCGGACCACTTCAGTTGGAAAAGAAGAAAAAAAAATTAAAGATTTCACACACTTGCAACACAAATAGGCAGTTTGAGAGCTAGTTATTGGAGAGGTTACTAGAGAGTGACATATAAAGAAAAGAAGGATAACAGATAAGGAGGGGGTGGGGCTAGGAGGGGTGGAGAAGGAGAACTAAGTTTTTCAATGAGTTTAAAGACTTCTCTTTATCTGCTGATCCAGGCATTGGAAAAACCGCCACTAAGACAAATGTTGGAAGTCTGAAGACAAAACTGAGCCAAAGTCTCTGTTTGTTGGATGGAGAAAAACAGCGAAACCAATTTACTCTGAATTCCAATCGGAACCGGATATCAACGGACTTAGGCCTGTATTAATTGTTCTAGTTCATCAGTATTCTGTAGGCCTACCCTTTCTCTTTTCTCACGCAATCGCTGGCCACACAATGATGTCTGCGCTATTTTTAGGTGTGGGGAAAGTCAGCTCTATAATTAAGTATGTAGATACCAGTGTCCGGATAGAATGATGAGATTCTGGACAAAGGCAGAGTGTTGTCTTCGGGTATTTAAGTGGACTTGTAATTGCTCGTGGTTTTTTTGTTTGTTTGTTTGTTTGTTGTTGTTTTTTTTTGTGCTTTTTTACACCAATCAACAATATAACTTGGATTATTTACCAGGCGGGCTGCTTCTGCCCTACCGGTCAGGGCGAACCCGGACTGAAAGGGACACAACGTCCCCGCGGACAGACGGAGACGGAAATGTCAATAAGAAAAACTCCCCCTCAAGAGAATCGAACTCATGTCTTCTTTGAGTAATGACAAAGAGCCTAAGCGTTACAATGTAGATACCAGGCTTCAACCGTGATCAAACGGGAACAAATTCGAAGATTAGTCAAGTCATGACGAGGAACAAGAGAGATAGGCTGGGCTAAGATTTTTTTTTTTTTATTTCATCTAAACACATGAATGCCTTGAACTTCTTGCCCTTATGGAAATATAGAAGCAGAGGCGCAAAAACAATGACGTACTTGAAGAACTTAAACAGCTGTAGATGAAATTGTAGGTGTTTTATGCCACCATCGACACGATTTAGGAAATTAAGGCTGCTTGGGCCTCGAGGGATACAACAGACAGAGATACTGGGTTGTTGTTGTTTTTTTAAACAAAAGCAAAAACCGACTCCCACACAGAATTTTAACTCATGTCTTCTGCGTGCGACCATAAAAGTCTGACTCATCTGCTTTACCACAGATATCGGTTTGAACAGCAGGGTGACGTGTATAAGTTTGTTGTACCTTTCAACACTGATAGGTTATATTTAAGAGGGATTTAATTTACGCCCATCTCCAAATGAGTTGAGAGCCTTGAAAACTCCACAAAATAACTCAAGTTCACTACTGGAATAATGTAGGTTTTTGTTTGTTAATAATTGTTAATATTTTTTGTTGTTGTTGCTATTTCTTTTATCGAGCAGAGTAATAAGAGGCTCGCCAATGTCTGCTTCAGACCTGACACTGTATCAAAGAATAAGATTAACTATCTAAAAAAGGATAAATCACTTAGACTAACACCCTACCTGCTCAAGTTTACTCTGCACATTTTTCTTGATGAAGTCTTTCCTGGCCAGCTCGTCCATGAATTCGAACTCCTCCCTCCGGCGACTGAGCTCCCGGTAACACAGCAGAACACACATGACGATGACCATCACCAGGACACCCACAGCGCCACAGATGATCATCGTCTTACTGTCCACGTCCCCCTCCGTGCCGTCCGGCTCAAGAAATGGGTCCAGTCCTTGACCCGTGCCGTCCTGCTGAGTGGCGTTCGTTGTTGCGTTGATGAACATGGCGAACTTTTCCCTTCGAGCCATATTGAGGGATTTTATGAAGCAAGATTTGTCCACAAAATATAACACACTTGATCTATTCTTCAACGATTTAATAAATTATTGGTCGAAAAATCAGTCTTCAAACTGAAAACTGTCGTAAATTCGTAAATAAATTAAATGTTCAAAGTGAAAAACCTTGATAAATTTGTAGACAAATTTCCTAAACTGAAATTCTAGAACATTTCTTCCAAGCAGAAAACGATAGATCTGAATGTTTGGATAAATCTTCCAAACTGAAAAGTGTTAGTAAATCCGGAGATAAAACAGATCTCTCTATCTGAGCAGAAAGCCAAATGATGATGCTATAAGGATGTAGTCAGTGAAACGCTTTGTAATCTTAAAACAAAAATGACGACTTCCGTCTAGATTTAGGTCTACTAATTTTTTTTCTTCTTATCGAACAAGTGAAATTCCTAGAAACACGAGACGGAGGCTAGGCTAGTCTGGATCTCGTCCAAGAGGCATACATCCGTTTGGGGGATAATGTTTATTTTATGTCGCCAACTCAGCACAGGTGGATGATTCTGCAGTATGCAATGTTCGTCAGAGAGGCTGGGAAACAGCTGGGTAATTCTGGTCATGATATTTTACCATTTTCATGTTGGTCTTATGTGATTTGAAAAACAAAATCAAACAACCTTTTGGTTATAGGAGTAGGAAATGGTCAGAATGTCAAGGTTGTTTTCTTTTATTTATTTTTTTTAAAGTTCCAAATAGAAACACCGAAAAAAAAGAATTTAAAAGTGTCAACGATTTTGAATAAAGATGGGTTTTAAATCGTACGTAGGTACAGTGAAGTCTTCCCTCACTTTGCTGAAATTCGTGATCAGAATAGAGATGGTTGTTCAAGTTTCCAGTTCCAGTTTTGTTGCATCAGGAGCTGAAATGGAAATAAGAGCACGTGTGAACGACAATGAAACTAATTTGTACATGGCAGCTTGGTGGAGGTAGGCCTATATGTACAAGGTAGATCGATGTGGGGAACATTAGAACATCATTTTTGTACCGGAGAAGGTAAAAGAAAGAAACTCGCCTAAACTTAGAGGGTGCGGTTGGGGGGGGGTATAGAGAAAGAGAATGGACGAGAAGGGGGGGGGAGAGACATTAAGAATGGGGGGGGGTGCAAGGGAAGGAGAGAGAGGGACACTTGGGAAGAAAGTGGGGGGGGGGAGAGAGAGAGAGGGGGGGGGAGGAAGTGACAGGTTAGAGAGAGAGAGGGGGGGGAAGAGAGAGAGAGGGGGGGAGAGACAGAGAGAGATATGGAGAGAAAGAAAGAAAGAGAGAGAGAGAGAGAGAGAGAGAGAGAGAGAGAGGGTGGGATAGAGGAATAGCGAGAGTATGGACTCATATGATACAGTTAGGATTAGCAAGATTTTCCTTCATGGAAGGGCAAAAGATATCACTGTGGCACAACTCCATCGAATCCTACAAATATCAAATTTATTGTTTGTTTTGAGTTGAATTGGTCGTTGTGGTCTGATGAGAACAGCCAATCATAAGCTCTGTAGCCTAACAGTCATATGACATTGTGATGTCAAGGTCAGATCTTTTGTTTGCGAACGGAATGCGATACTGGACGGTGTTGATTTAGAGAAGCTGATAAAAGGTTATCGAAATTTTCCATGTCCGCGGAATTCAAGAAGCTCTCAACACAGTAACCGCGATACGACGTGACAATGGGCACTTGACGCCATTATTAAAGAAATTGTTTGTGTTGTGAATGGTAGGCCTATGTTTTGTGTACAACGACGCCGTGCGGCGCCGGATATGACATCTACATCCGGTTTCTCGGTCGCCAGGGGTCAACGTTTTCTTTGCTTGAATTTTCGGATTGAATTTGATGAAGCAAGGCAGGGCATATTCATAGTGGGCATTGAAGCTGCCATGAATCGACCTGACCTGACCCGACACTACACGACATGATACGACACGACTCGACCTGACCCGATCCCATCTCATCCGGTCCAATCCTGCCATGGACACCTGGTTTAACCGCTTCACCACATACGGCAGTACATTAGTGCATGTGTCGGTGGGGGGAGGGGGGGAGTGAAAGGAGATTCTTTACGGTGACATAAGAATTAAACATGAAACCTGATCATAGAAATGGCGTCTGTCGTTTTAGAGTTCCGCTCTTCATCTTTGGAAAAGGAAGACATGCGAGTTCGATTCTCGTGTGGAAATTGTCTTATCGAGTATCTCCGTCATTCTGCTTGGATGGAATTTGTACCCCCTTCAGCTCGGGTTAGCCTTGACCAACGCGGTCTCGATCCAGAGAGAGATTTCAAGAGAGAAGGAGAGAGAGAAAGGCAGTGAGAGAAGGGAAGAGATGGAAGAGCGAAGGGGAAGATAGGGTTCTAAACTGTGTCGAGGGGCTCGTAGAACATGTCAAATCGTGCTCAGTCTGTCTGCAAGGAGAAAAAACACCGACCATTCAACTCTTTAAGGACGTAGCAGACACAAATGTCCGATCAGCAATAAACTAAGGCAATATTGCTGCACATTTCGAGCCATTAGGCAAAAGTCAGAAACACGAGTGTGTCTATTTTACAGTTTGCATGAAAATGTCTTCATGCATTTATTGATTCCAAATACTGACTAAGAGATATGGGAAATCTGTATGCACAATGAAGTTGTGCTTCTTTCATTATTAACTGCACCGAAATAACCAGCGCATCCTCAAGGAGTTAAGAAGCCATCATGTCACGCTTTGGCCCTTGGTATGGGTCAGGAAATAGGTTATCGGGTCCTTAGTTGTGGCGAGTCTAGACTCCTGATCTGTCCGGCGATATGTTGCAGCAGGGAGTAAATGTTGAAACTCCGTGAAAGTCTTTCCTAATATCTAGCTGATAACATTGTCAGGGACCAGTGCCGCTCGAGGTGAGAGTGGATAGTTAAACAAGCCGGCATGTCAAACGAGTGTGCTAACTGCTGACCTCCCTTGAGAGGGTCACTTTTGCTTTTGTTAAATCGCGTTCGTCTTTTAAGTATATTTGTACAACAATTTATCTTAATTCGTTTAAAGAGGCAATATTCAGAACAAGGGCAGTTTTTATCGACGAATCTGCCCTTCTGCCCTTGGAAAAAAAAATAGATGAGCTTGCATATTCGAAGTCATTGTGTCTTTCTACGCGTAGAATTTACAGAGAACATGTCGTGCCAAATTGTGCCCTTAGATTTGCGAATGGATTCGTTTAGTTTAAGTAAACAGAAACACATCGACGCAATAACTACACTGTGCACTCAATGAATAGATTTGTTAAGGGAAAAGCAAGATGGATAGACAATCAGAAAGAAGGGAGTACCTGTATTATGATAACTAAGCACACTGCACATCATGGTAGAGATGACTGCAATTGTAGATTAGAATGCTTTAACTTCTAAGCCCTCAATCTACCCCCCCCCCCCCTGGGCAGTGCTACTGACTGAAGTGTCTTTAGGCCATTCCCAAAGGGGGGCATTAATATATTCTTATGCTCAGTAGAATTTGTAAATTGGCTGAATCATCAATGTCAGGCTCATAACTGTGCCTGAACTGCAACAGGGAACTTTTGCTTTTTCTTTCCTAATCCTTGCCATCGTCATTTCCCTCTACTTTTTTTGTATGTTAGTCACACTCATATGACCCGCTATTTCCGGGGTGGCTTAATAGTCGAGGCAGACTTTGTGTTTTTGAAACTAGAGAGGTGAGCAGAGTAAGCCTGATTCCCTGTATGGACTTCTCTGTTGACATCCACCCCTTGGCGCTCATATGACCATATGCAGTTGAGAGCGTCGTAAAAACACTTCTAAACTAAAACTAAAAAGCTTCCAATCGACAGAATGTAGATCACTCTGTAGGCGGGCTGCCTGAACCCTCGACCCCGCCTATCACAACCAACTCGGGCTGATTGGGGTACAAGTTCCCAGCAGACATGATAGTGAGGAAATACTTGATAAAATATAACACCCTTCCCCCCCCCCCCCCCCCCCCCACACACACACACACACTCATGTGAAACGAACACATGTTTTCTGCGTACAACAAGGTAAAGCATGACCACTATCACCACATACGTGGGTAGTTGGAGGATGTCACTGATGGATCCTACTTCTTTTCTTTCCCTCTGTTGCTTTTGTCTGTCTGCCTTACTTTTTCCCCAGTACTTTATGACCGTTACCGTGTGGATGTGCTTCTCTTAACTCAAACTAACGTACAATCTATCAATCAGTTAATCATACAAACAAGTGTGAAAGCCTGAGGCCTGAGCACTAATATCACAGCCTCCTGTACACGCAATAGTTGGGTGTAAGATTCGTATAAAGGTCAAGCACAGGGAACTGTCCTTTCTTTTTGAATACAAGTGTTTTAAGCCCCCCTCGGTATAACTTAGACTAATTTGGAGACGTGCGTCGACCCTTGTGCGTCACAGCCAATCCGAGGGGAGAGGGACACAACAACGTCCCAGCAGAAAGACGGAGAGATTCGAGAAAAAAAATCTCCCAACACGAGACTTGAACTCCCATCTTCTGCGTATGACAGCGACGCGACAAACGCTACACCACAGACACCGTTTCGTAATCATTCTTTGCTTTGGGGGGGGGGGGTGTTGCCCTGACCTGCGGTGCTCAAACTCAAAGGTTAAATGATAAAATAATGTAACGCACGCCTTATCTCATCGGTACAGCGCGTATCGGAATAGTGTCCATGAGAATAAAAGTAGCGTAACTCCGCTTTGTGAAGATTTGAGAAAAATGTGATTTTCCTTTGAAGAAATAAACAAACACATAAACAAACAAACAAATAAGTAGATAGTAAAGAGCAAATAAAGATAGAAAGAAAGAAAGAAAGAAAGAAAGAAAGAAGGAAAGAAAGAAAAAATGTAAGAAAAAAAAGACAGAAAAAAGAAAGACAGAAAGAAAGATGGAAGGAAAGAAAGATGGAAAGAAAGAAAGAAAGAAAGAAAGAAAGAAAGAAAGAAAGAAAGAAAGAAAGAAAGAATTTTTACAAAATTAGACTAGCCTATGAATAGAAATTCTGTCCCACCAAGAGATCATTCTTCAAAATAACCGCCAATTACTAGTGGTCACACCTCATCAGACTGAGATTTATCAGAGAGTTTCATTCCTTGCCCGGTGTTAATTCAGTTTTGCCCACAAGTGTAGATAAGCCATTGTTTATCTGGATGGCACAATGTTGTCTAAGCACGTCTTGAGATATTTGTGAGTGTGTTATATCATCCAAGATAACTTCTGACTGCACATATTGACCCCCCTCCACCTTTCCAACCTACCCGAAACACGCTGACATTACATAATCCGATATTGTTTTAACTTTTTGTATGATTAATGTAGGGGTTTTTTTGCGCACCCATTGGTACAGTTTATATCATATAAGGGAAGGGCTTAAACCCTGTTTGTTAGTGTCAACCCGCTCTGAGAGGGACGCAACGTCCCAGATGAAAGACCGGGATACTCGATGAAAATTATTCCCGCCCCGGAATCGAACTCGGGTCTTCTGTGAGCTATGGCGAAGCGCCTGACCGCTACACCTTTGACGCCAGTCGTGATAGTGATAGTGTGAAGAGAGCAAACAATCCAGAAATTATTTCAGACGTTTTCAGTCTTTTGTGTTCACGCTGTCAAACCTGTGTGTCTGTGTCTGTGTCTGTGTCTGTGTCTATGTCTGTGTCTGTGTCTCTGATGTAATGGTTAGGGTCTTCACCGTTGAAAGCAGAAGACATGAGTTCGTTTCCTGTGTGTGGAAGATATTCTATCGAGCACCGAACTCCTACTCAGGAGATTTCGGATGAAGGTTTTCCAGGCAGTTCCGCTCGTGTTGTGTCCTTGGGAAAAGCACTTTAAACGAATTTCCCCTTTTGGCTCGGCCCTATCGGGGAC